ATTGTTTTGATCTCTGGTAGTGAATCTGTTTAAGGACCTTGCCAGCTGTGCAGTGCCTCCGGTGCTCTTTCAGGTAGGGGTCCAGTGGGAAATACGTGGAAACTCCAGCTGATACAAAGATACCTCTTATGTAGATAGGGGCAAGGTATAGAGATATCACCGGCATAGGTTGGGTAACACTTGTGCCCTTACTACCTCCAGGCTCCAAGGGTTGTGGGACATGGGATGGAAGAATTTCCTGTTATGTGTAAGGATTATGTAGTGGGTTGAGTGGTGCCCCAACTCCCAAAACAGGTCTAAGTCCTTACCMCAGATTCTGTGCATTCAACCTTATTGAGAAAAAGGAACTTTGCAGTTATAATTAAGCATCTCAAAATGAGATTATCCTGTATTTAGGGTAAGCCCTAAATCTAATGACAGGTGTCCTCCTAAGAAAAAGGCTGATGGAAATTTAAGACCCAAAGACGCACAGAAGAGAAGATAATGTGAAGATAGAGGCAGATCTACAAGACAAGGAATACCAAAGATRTCTAGCASCCACCAGAAGCTAGGAGAGAGACATGGAGCAGACTCTCCCTCAGAGCCTTCATTTCAGACTTCTGGCATCCAGCACTGTGGAGCTCTGCATTTCTATTATTTTGGCCCCTAGGTTAATATTAAATGGTGCCTTGGGACACCAATACAGGTGTCATGGTGGCAGAACAGTATATGGACAGCCTGGGAAGCCCCGTCCCAGGAGCTCAGAGTAAAACCCTGACCTCRCTCTTCCCCTCACCTCTGGGCCCTTACTGGGGTTCATCATTGGCCACACCCTGCCAGGAATCAGAGGATCAGGTAGCTCACTGATGTGCTAGAGAGACGAGGTCAGCTTCCTGGGAGAGAGAGAGAGAGAGAGCGAGCCTGTTGGGGAGGCTTAGGAGGGACAGAGGATACACAGCACATCTCTTTTTCAGTTATAGATARGGGTACCCATAAATCCTCATTTATCTGGAACAGGTTTGGCTTTTACCTGTTGTCCCAGTTTCCATCTTAAAAAGAATTAATTTTGCCCCTTTTCATCCTCACTCAGACTTGGTTAATTAGAGGGTCAATTTAGTAATAGGTCCACATCCAAGTAGATCTTCATTCAAATGGAGGTGGAAGTTCTGTAGGATATGGTGAGCCAGACAGATTACCTCTCCTGATTGCCCTATGRTCCTAGACATTGTTGACAGGTATAAGACAAYTTCAAACCTTTTGAAAACACTGAACAGGAATATACCTTACTGTATCATATGCCCCATAATTTTTGCATTTAGCTATTTTCCCTTCATCATGGAGATCCTTACATCAGGCACACTGACCTCCCTTGTTTGTTTTAACCCTGCACAATACTCTTTAATTTATTTAAACACTGCCTGATTGGTGAACATTTGTCATTTGAACTCCCCATGCAAACAGTGCTCAGTGACCATTCTGGTGCACACCCCTTTGTGTATATGTGTAGACTTCTAGCCTGTTTAATTGGTCATGTGCTGGTACTTGAGCTACCTGTAAAAGGAAGCTAGGGCTTAAAAATAAAAATCTTCCAGGAAGGTGGACCTGACAATATGGACCTGATCAAAATGTTGGGAGGATGTTTTTCAAGACGTTTTTAGGCCCTTAGACAGATGTCCACTGTAGGTCAAGAAGTGGGATTGTTTGCATTCTAAAGTGACTGTAAAACAATGTAGACCAATTTATATCACTGTCTATAATTTACAATTCCATTTTCTCTACATCTTGTCCCACAGTAGATATTATTTTTAAATGCTTTTGACAATTTGGATAATCTGATGGGAGATCTTATTTTATGGAAATCCGTTTTTCTTCAAAATGGGCTGAGATTTTTGACTTTAAGATCTTGAATTCTAAGACCTATTAATATCCTTTGTSCTTATGTTAGACTTATTTCTGCTGGCCTGTTAATATTTGAACACCTCTATATACCTGGATATCGATTTTTTTGCCTGTTATGTATGTGGAAAATATTTCTTTCACGGCGTCTCTTTTATCCTTTTAGTTATGACTTTTAGTTATAAAAAAAACATAAATGAAATGAGTAATCTTTTCAGAACATTTTTTGCTCAAGAAAGCTTTTCATGTTCTTCATTATAAAATATATTTATCATTTTCAAAACATTGTAGAGTCATATTGCTCACTTTAACCTTTTAACCATTTATTATTTATTTTGTGCATTGCTCACTTTTTATTGTGTAAGTTTTTATTTTTTTTCTCTGTGGGGAGCCYATTATTTCTCAGATTAATTGAAGAGTTTGTCTTTAACACATGCTTCATTCTCATATTCTATATTTCTCTTTCTGGAGTTTCTATTATATTACACTATGTTGGTTTGGGGTGAATGGTAGTTGCTTGATCCTATATCATGCTGTTTAATTCTTGAATTAATTTCATAATGTACTGTGAAAGCTAGAAGTGCAATACCTTCTGGGAGAAAAGAAGTCTAGGTCTCTTTTTTTATATTTCTTTTTCAGATATATTTTAGAATAGGTTTGCTGAATTTTGTAAAGATTATATTGGAAATTTTTAATGGGCATATTATATATACATCTATATGAAAATGCAAGTATGTTTTGTGGAAAAAATTATGAGATACTGTGTTGGAAGAATTTCACTAAATATCAGAGGCTTATTTAGCAGTTTAGAAGTAGAGTACAAATTACTTGTTAAAGCAACCAAGAAGTGAATTCTGAGTTTCTTCATCACTCCCATGACAGTATTCAAGATGGCAATAAAAATATGGGATCACAGATGAAAAATGATGGGGGAGAGCATAGGATCTACATGTCATGGGAGAAGAGAGAAAGATTAGAAGCATTTTGTCCCAGGTTTCACTCTGACTTGCACTCACAGTGTAAGCTGCAGTCAGGAGTGTGGAGAACCATCATCCCACCCTGGGGCACAGATCAAGGTGTGAAGCACACCCTCTTTAGAAGGACTGGAAACAGTTGCACTGTTCTTCATGCATATCAGGTATCCATCCCCTGCTTTCTACCCATTTTTTTCTAAATCAGTCACATTCCCATTCTTTGCAGAGAAGTCTTTGGAGCCCAGGGAACAAAGCAGAGTTTTGACTCTCAGACCTACAAACTTMTGTCTTTGTTCTGTCTCTGACCAGCCATGAGTCTTTGGTCGAATTCCCTTTAGAGTCTTTGGATTTTCATATGTAAAATGGAAAGTCAACATAGCATACCTCATGAAGTTATGGTAAGCAGTGATGTACAGAATAACAACTCTAGTYAGGTTGGTGAAGTTTATTGTACACATGGACCTGAAAGAGACTGGGCATGCTAACTCTACGGTTCATGCTTTAGACTGCTGATACCTCCTGAGACAGAAAGGGAAACCTAATTGGAAGTAAATAAGACTTTATTAATAATCCGTTTTGTAGAGGCAACTGATACTCTGGAATCTGCAGAGGAAACTAGAGATAAATGCCTTGCTCTTAGAGAGCCTAACTCTCAGGTAGTGAGGCAAGACCTTCCCAAGAGAAACAATAGGACACACAGGACAAAAAGGATATTTGCAGCCTGGGTAAAATGAYAACAGATTTGGAGAAATTGCTGATGAATTCAGATTCAAGGAATATGTGAGAATTTTCAGGGTGGTAGACCTCTTGTTGGTGGCTCTATGAGGGGACTTAACGGTGGCATGAAATTACAATGCATAGGGAAAATGTGACTGGCAGTGGGTTTTGTCCAGAGTACTATCTGGCAGGCTTGAGTCCAGGATATAGTAAATGATCTAGTCTACTCTGGTGGGGCTGATGGTAGGCAATTAAGTAGCTGAGCACTTTGCTTTGACTGGATGAGAGGACAGGAATGAGAAAGTGGCATTCAGTGAATGTTTGCTTTGAGACAACTTGACAGCAACTTTGAGACAAATATGAAAGTATTAATTCTGACTTGATGTATAAATTTGAAACCATGCKAATCCACCCAAATTAGAACATATATACACACATATATGATTCTGATAAYTTCATCCAGGTGGTGTGAGTTGAGCTGAATCTGCTTATGACATTGCATTTGAATCAATTAGTTGATCGACTGAAATACCCATCATTGCAGTTCCAATTTGCTCTTTGTTCCTTAGTTAGAACCTTGAGAAGCAGCTAGTGATRGCATTCCTGCTGCACTCTGCTCTGCTCTTTTCAGAGGCCTCCCGTTGTTCTCTTCCTACCATGGTTATTTCTTACGTGCTTTCCTGCTCTTGGTTCTCTTATTCCTCTTCCTCTTCCCCTCACTCATAGTGCCCCATCTGTTACTTCTCCATGCCATTCTCTTCCTATGTCCTAGAACTAGAGGCTCAATGACAGACAGGGCAATTGTTGGGATCAACCGTTGGTCTTTGGGGCCATTACCTTCATTGGGGAGCAACAAATGTGCCATACATGTGGCTGAGAGGATCCATTGCAGGGCAGATGGGGTGAAGTATGTGCCAGGCACTCTAGGCCTTATCTCCAGGTGAGCTCTTTGCAAGCAGAGGAGCCTGGTCTTCCTTCTCTGGCTGCTCTATTTCCTGCAACAGCCTGTAGAGGGGCTCTGGAGTGCTCTTGTGATAGGGAGCTTCTTTAGACCCCATCRTCTTCAAGCTGGGGTAGCAACAACGATGCCAAAAGTAAGAGAAGCCATAGATCCCAAACAGGCACAAGGCATCAAACATCACATGCCAGCAGAA